ATTTAGAAGAATGAGGCACAAAACTAAAATAAAATTAATACCAAATATAAAACCCAGTAATGAAGCAATGCTATGCAAAGACTTGATAGTAAATCCTTTCTGGAAGAAATGATCTTAGCAGAGTTCTAAATAAGGAAGAAAATATAGGAACTAATAGACATGGAATACATGGAGAAAGGAAGATGTATAGATGGTACATGCATGTGTGTGAGGCAAATTAAAGGTGGAACAGAGTGTAATTTGTAAAGCATAGAGCATTACTAACTGCTTAATATGGATGGCACCTACACGATTTGAATCAGACCACAGAATCCATTGAGGAACCGCTGAGTAAGAAGTCTTGAATTTCTGAGCAAAGCCGGGAGACACACAGGGCTCACGGGAACTGTGGCACCAGTGCTACTGGAGCAGGTTTGGCCCCGGCTCGTGCAGTGTGGCTCACCGGTGGTTATGGGTGACTATGTCTGATCTTCTGCCCTCGGATGGTTCTCCCTGCTAATAGACACAATGACGCTTATTATAAATGCCCTCTGAGGTTGCTAGGAAGATGCCATGTGTTACAGATGAAGACAAAGAAATGAAACACCTGTTTGTGTCGCTTGGTTGTATGCTATTCGCCTCTCATCACAACACTGCAAATACAGCCTGACACAGGAAATTTGTTCTTGGGCTTGTTTGCTTATGTCTTTGAATTCAATTTCATTTCTGTTACAAATGAAGATGATCTATCTCTTCAGTCAGTCTGTAAATCTCAAAGTCTTGAGTCCACTTCTACAGAATGTAAACATTCAATGAAGGTTGACACTGAATGATTTTAGATGGGCACTTATAATACAAGCTCAGTGAGTCACTGTGCTGTGTACTTGAAGTCAGTGTAATGTTGTAGATCAACTATACTTCAATAAATAATAATAATAATGTGAGCTCAAGATGCTCCCTAGACACCTACCTGGGTGCAAGTCTTTCTTCGTTACATTGCATCTATGCATAAGGCCTCTCTTATAAAAACATGAGATGAATTTTATTTATTGAGTTTAGTTATGTGTTTATACTTACTTTTTTTCTTAAGTTATCACCTCAAGAAGGAAGTGACTCTATATTTAGTTCTACTTGAAAAATGCCTAATGGGACATGAGGCTTCAGTTCAGATTTCTCAGTGAGTCACTGTGCTGTGTACTTGAAGTCAGTGTAATGTTGTAGATCAACTATACTTCAATAAAATAATAATAATAATGTGAGCTCAAGATGCTCCCTAGACACCTACCTGGGTGCAAGTCTTTCTTCGTTACATTGCATCTATGCATAAGGCCTCTCTTATAAAAACATGAGATGAATTTTATTTATTGAGTTTAGTTATGTGTTTATACTTACTTTTTTTCTTAAGTTATCACCTCAAGAAGGAAGTGACTCTATATTTAGTTCTACTTGAAAAATGCCTAATGGGACATGAGGCTTCAGTTCAGATTTAACAGGTTCTGAATTAATGATCATCTGTCTGCCTGATATACAGTATTATGAGCAGGGTGAGAATGCTTTCAGCAACTGTTCTTAGTTGGGAAAAATTACCCTTTATGAAAAAAAAACTCATCGTAAATCAACCCACTATAGAGCTATAGCAAAGGAAAAGGACACACACACACAAACTATTAAAAGGCAGTAAGTAAGAGGGGATCTTTATAAATAAACTGGTGTTTTTGGTCTTTTGCTGTGTCCATTTGGCTAGGCTACAGCCCCCGATTATTCAAACACTAATCTAGTTGTTACTCTGAAGCTAATTTGTAGATGTGATTAAAGTTCATAATCCATTGATTCTGAGTAGGGGAGATCATCCTAAATAATCTGGGTGAGTGTGATTCACTTAGTTGAAGGGATTTAAGAGCAGAACTGGGGCTTCCATGAAGAAGGAATTCCCCCTGCGGACAGCCAGGTTCCAGGCTGCCGCCCCGACAGCCGCCCCCGTGGATGCGGAACTTGCCCAGCCAGTCTCCGCAACTCCATGTGCCAGTTCCCTGCAACCAATGCCTTACTCTAGACCTCCTGTTTCTGCTTCTCTGACGGCACCCCTGAGACACCAGGCATGCAACCCAATGATAATGATAATGCTTTTATATAAAAGCTTTTATTTCAGCCCCTCACTTTTAGGGGCAAAGAGCATGCTATATCCTAAGACCATGGAGATCTTTCAAAATTAAATTTATTTAAAATCATTTTGGAGACCTTTGTATCAACTGGGAAATAAAACTGTATATTAAACAAAACACGTTAGTATTTGAAATCAGGAAGCTATAACCAGGAAAATATCCTTTAATTCATTTGATACAATGTCAATAACAACCAAGTAATAAAACTGTACTAGGGCTTTTGGGTCATGATCTTCATAGGTTTTAAGGCAGTAACCCAAGGTCACAGCTCAGCATCCCCAGCCTACTCGTTTCTGCAGTGAGAGCTTTTACTCTTTCCATTTGAGTCTAAGTGTCAGCATTTGAACCTTGGGCCAGAGATCTGTCACACCAGAATACTGGAGGATTGCCAGAAAGTTCTTTTTTTGACAAACAATTTGGTTCAGTTCAAACATTTATTGAATACTCACTAGTTAATAGCGCTATAAATTCTTTATGATTAAGTTTTGATTATTTGCTTGTTAAACTCTCAAGTACAAAATGAGTGTCAACCTCAAGTGCTTTTGAAGCATGTTAGGGAAATGAGAAAGTCACCTTTATCCGTAGGCTAAAAGAAATTTTCTTCCGCTGACACTCAAATGAAACTATTCCTAGTATTTTCCACATCTTAAACAATGCCTTTCTCTTAATTCAGAGAACATTTTTAAATTGCCTTTGTAATGCAATTCGGTATCTACACTAATTACCACTAAATTCTTTCTTAATGGATAGATGGGGGGAGGGGGGGGGAAATTTGACCAGTATTTAGTGTATGAAAATAGGAGGTGGTAAAATGTGGAGTATAATTAAATAAATATGACCAGAGAGTACAAAGTGAATGACAACTAAAATAAATATAGGAAAAAGAAATAAGAAACATATGATAGAGAAGAATTAAAAATAAGGAAATAAAAGTGAAGCATAAAATTCAAGCAAAAGAGATTTTTAAAGCATACTTGTGGGGAATAATCAATTAACAATAAAATATTTTAGGATCCTTAGAAGAAAGGTTATATAGTAAATCTCATACAGTTGACTGTAGGAAGACTAATTAAATTGTTGGAATCTAAGGGAAGAAAGTCGACCTTCCAGAATTCAGATTTAATAGTACCGTTGAAGAGGACATTGGAATACGCTCCTATTTTGTCCTGAGGAATTGATGAATGGTTTCAGGCTTACAAAACGTTTCCTTGAGCAAAGAATGGGTTGGGGTACAGAACTCTTTTAAAAATATATCTAGGCCCTACCGCCTTCTTACATATTAATAGCATAAAATAATATGTGTCTGTCTACATCTACATTTCGCCAAAAATGAGCAGCTGATGTGATTTATTAAGGACTCCTTTTGTGTTTATGGGGCTGAGTAGGTCTGGACGTGACCTGTCTACGGGGCGACCTGCCGAAGCCCTCGCCGTGAAGCCGACGTCAGATCTGCTTTCCCCCAGATGCACAAAGGCCGCTTCTTCCCTCATTCCTGTGAAGGTAGCAGAAGTTTTATGCACGAAAGGTTGGTGGTGGGTAAATTCTACGAAGCAACACAAACTCAAAAACTAAAGACAACAAGTCAGTGTCATTAAGGTCCTTTTCTACGATTATTTTCTCTCCGGGTACACCTCCTCTGGGGTACAGCCAGACAACGTGCTCATTCCTTCCAGTCAAGACACAGGCCTGCTGCTGCCGGGACTCCAGGACAGGAGGAGGACGGACAGGAAGATGGTGAGTCTCCTGTGCGTCCCACCGTGAGAACCTTCAATACAAAACCCCTGTTGCGCTGTTCATCTGCTGTTCCTCGCAGCTGCTGAAGAATTGTCCTCTTCGGTTATTATGCATCCTGGAGTGTTTCCAAACACTCCCTAAACCAAGGAAAATGTCTCAACGCCCTACCCTGTTTGTAAAGATTTATGAACAGTAAAGAAATGATAAGGATTTAAGTAGCAAGCAGGGTCTCTCTGCGGAGCATGCGTGTATATTACTTCTCCGGGCCTATTTCACATGCTGTTTGTTGGAATCAGCATGTTGGAGAGTCTCGGGTGTGTTTGTCGGAAGCATTCGTTACTGGCGTCCTGAAACCTTCGTGTGCTGTGCTTACCTGCCCACGTAGAACGGACTGGAGAAGAAGTGCTTCAGCAGGGAGCACAAAAAAGAGACGAGTGATCAATTAAAACAGGTCCTGAAAGCGCGCGCAGGAACGTGGGCAGTAGGACAAGGCATGGACAGTGAGAGGCAGAATAATGGGCAGCGTGTCACGAATGATGACAGGGACGCAGCTGCTCCTGATCGTGCCTGTCCGCCCCTTCCGGTCCCCATAACCATTCAGCTAGGCAGTAATTCAAGCAACATTTTTATTTGTTTTGTAAATGGAGAAACCAAGACATGAAGAAATAAAATACTCTGCCCAGTGATCCCACAGCTAGTATATGGGAAAGGAAAAAATTCAGACTCAGGCCTCTGCCCCCAGCTTCCACAACATCTCACTAATGTGTCAGCTCGCTTAAATGGTTTTCCTGGATTATGTGTTAATGTCTCTGCAATCTGCATGATGCCTTAGCAAGATGCCAGGAAGTCCCAGCACAGGGCCAGCACGACAGTCCAACCAGTGGCTTATATAATCTTGAATTTCGCTAGACAATGATCCCTCCCGGTTTTCTCCAGCCTTTATTTTTTAATGTCTTCCCTGGTTATTCTTGCATCATGTTATAGAAGAACAACTCTATACTTTTAGCCTCACAGCCCTTCGTGCTTTAAAAAACACTCTTAAAATGGATCAAGGACCTCAAAGACCTCTTGCTTATGTAGATTGTATCTTTTTTGTATTTACTGCTTTAGAAATTAAATCTGAGAGATTTTTAAAGGATGGCTTTATTAATTCATTTAGAAATAAGAATCATCCCGTGGATGTTCACATAAGTAAACATACTTACTTCTATGAAAAATAACGACATTTTCCAAAACAAAAGTGTAGTGAGGAAATTGATGTCATGCTGTGTTTCTGGCACATCTTTCACTGTCTGGCACAACAGAAGACAGACAAATCTTACACCCGCTTCTGCACCAGTGACACCCTGATGGCCCGGGCACCGTTGATCGTGCTGGAGTCTGTCAGCCTCTCTTCTGATGGGAATTAGCTCTTTGCTTGTGTACAGAATAAGTCTTTGTTAATGGCATCATCGTTAAAAAGGTGCTTTTTACCTGGTGTGCATACCAATGACAGAAAATCTTGAAATCATCAAGTGGGGTTCATAAAACTAAGATCTCTGTTTGTCATTCCTAAAGGACATCTTTAAACACAGAACAAATAATGATTTGACGCAGAAAGGCCAAACCAGCACCACCTGATGGGAAGCAGAGAAGAAGTCCTCCATAGTTGTTCTAGCAACTTCCTCAGGCCGTCAGGGTACTTGGCACTCATTGTTCCTGGCAATTGTTTTACCCGTATCTGAACTCTGTACATTTCTCTCCAGAAGCAGCAAACTCTGATGATGTTAGCCTTGATAAGATGTCATATCCAAATACTGCATCTCATTTTATGCTAAGAAAATGTTAAGTCTAGCTCCTTCATGCCTCACTTTTCACATCCATCAATTAAGTTAAGAAAATTCAACTATTTTAGAAAAATGTGGCTAATATAAGCACTTAGTAGAACGCCCTTCTGCCCCCCATCTACCCCTGCCAGCTTCCCCAGTTCTGGGACAGGGAGACATGGTGGCTGAGACCGGCCTCTGCCTCCTCCCACCCCCATCTCACCCCAAACTGTGCAACTAGACCTCTTTTGCTTTTCCTCCTGGACCTGCCAGGTCCGGGGTACAGGATTCCACTTGGGCTGCCCCTGGCCTTTGGGCCTCAGTGGTCAGCCAGGGCCTTCTGGGGGTAGGTTCCTGTCCCCCAGGCCCCAGTCTGGAGCAAGGTTTTGGGGCGGTGGGGCCTGCCTGGGGCTAGCAGCTGGGCCTGGGGTGGTGTTGGGGGCGGCCTCCAGGGCTGGGGGTGCTGGCACAGGGTGGCGGCAGCCTGCAGAGAGGACTCTGCATTAGAAGGGGCTTCCAAAGGCCACAGCCAGCAGGGCCAGCACCACGGCCTGGGCCAGGCCCCGGTGCCAGTGGGGACAGGTGGTCGCAGTGGGCTGGGGCTGGCCGCTGGGGGCAGCGGGTCCTGAGCAGGAGCCCCGAAGCTTGTCCAGTGTGTCCGGCGGGAGACAGGAAGTGCAGCTGCGCGGGGAGCTGCTGCGGCAGGTGTAGCAGGACGCGTGGCAGCGGGAGCACACCCGCAGGGCAGGCGCGGCTGAGCGCCCAGGCCCCGCAGTCACCGCCTGCTGCGTGTGGCCGAAGTACCGCGGCGGGCACTGGGACAGACAGAGGTGGCCCAGAAGGTAGGCAGGGCTGTGGCATTCTGTGCAGGGGACACGCATGCAGGGGTGTAAGGCCAAGGTTGCAGCCCTGGTCCGCCCCCATCTGCCCCGGGCTGCACACGCCCACTGCCCACCACTGCTGCCTCCCAGCAAGCGGGCCACGCTGCACCGGGCACTCACCCTGGCACAGCCCCTCTGTGTCCTGCTGCACGCATGCGCTGCGGGTCCCCTGGGGGCCAGTGGGCCTGGCTGTCATGTCCTCAGACGTTCCGTAGAGCAGCAGTGTGTAGCGCTCCAGCATCCCTGGGCAGGGTTCATGGTGGGCACGTTGGTGGCCTGGTCCTGCCATTCTGGTGCCCTCGTGTCAGCTGCCCCCATCCGACCCTGGAGCCCCAGACTTCGATGGTGCTCACACTGACACCCAGTATGGGCTGATGGCTGGACGCCTACTGGGCACCAGACCCCACTGGGAGCCCCTTTGCAGTAGGGTGACCGAGGCAGGCTCCAGAGCTCGTTGGGGAGGTTGGGGGTCATGTCCCCAGCTCTCACCCGTATTGAAATAGTAGCCCTTGTTTTCCAGGCCCAGGATCCACAGGCCTTGCGGGTCCTCGTCCCAGAAGTGGGTGGACATGAAGGTCCAGTTGCTGTAGCCTTCGCCACTGACATCAAAGGGCCTGGGACGGAGGGGGCGGGAGGAGGGGCTGTGTTGTCAGTCACGAAAGGCCACTGAGCTAGTGTCTGGCTGCAGTGCCTGCACTGGGCCCCCATCCGCACCTGACGGCCACGAGCGTGGAGCGGGTGCCCATGGGGCTGGTGAGAGAGATCTCCAGGTCCCCGCGGCGGCTGTAGGACAGTGACAGCTGCACCTGCACGTGCTCCAGCGAGCTGATGACGGAGGACCGGCCCGTGCAAGCCGACACATTCTTCTTCACTTCCAACAGCGGCAGGATGGGGCTGGGGGGCAGTGTGGGGGTGAGGGCCCTCCTGCCGGCTGCTGGGCAGGTGGTTGCCAGCAGGTGGGATCTGGCTCTGATCCTGGGACCCAGCCTCTCATTTTGAAAGTGGTTAAACTGAGGCCCTCAGGCCTGCCTCCCACGTGTCCAGGCCCTTGGGTGGTAATACTGGATATGGGGGAGGGCTGGGAGGTGACGGGCGTGGGGGAGGGCTGGGGCTGGCAGGGGACGTGGAGGTTTGGCTGAGGACACTCACGTGGGCTGGTGCACAATCTGAATGGCACACTTCTGCTGGGGCTGCGTGGGTCGCCACATGCGTGCCATGTCCACCAGCAGCCTGGCATCCAGCAGCCCGTAGCCGTAGTGGTGGCTCACTGCAGGAGGGCCGGCGATCACTCACCCCGCAGGCGTGACGTCCCCACCCCTGCCCGGCCCTGCCGCACCTTGGCGTCCCACACCGTTGCTCCTCCAGTCCTCGGCCTGGAGCTGCGCTGGCCTGGACGCACGGACCACCAGGTGCTGCATGTCCCTCCATGTCAGGAGTGGGCTGGGGCGGGCAAGGACAGTGAGCTGGGGCACGCTAGGGACAGTCGCGGAAGGCAGGCACCCTCCCCCCTCCATCACCTACTTGGCCTCCAGAGCCAGGGCGATCATGCCAGCTGCCAGGGGGGCCGAGGCCGAGGTGCCTGTGTGCTTGTCTGTGCACTGGTGGTGCAGGTCCGTGGTGACCTGGTGGCAGAGAGGGGGTCTCGGGGGCCTGGTGCATGCGATGCGAAAACCCAGCCCTTGTACAAAAAGTCGCAAGCACTTGCGGAGGGCACTGCAGAGCATTTCACCAGGCCTGAAGCTGGCCCTGCCTGGCCCGTGGGCATGAAAGGCAACAGCTGTGGGGCCTGGTCCTACAGGGGGGGCCCGGTCCTGGGGGCAGCCCTGGGAGGAGGGAAGGCGAGGAGGCAGGGGCAGGCGGGGGCTGCTCACGATCTGGGGGTCAGTGACCACGCCGCTGCTGTAGGTGGTGGTGAGTGTGGAGGCGCAGGCCTCGCTGTACCAGGGCACGTGGCCCTTCTGGGTGGTGCTGCCCACCGAGAGTGTGTGGATGCTGTTGGTGTAGCCGTCACAGTTGCAGTTGTCGTAGTGCAAGCCGCCATTGCCCGAAGCCCAGACGAAGAGCGTACCCAGCCCACCGCGGCCCTGCAGATGGGTGGGGGTGTCATCCTGGCCTGTGGACACAAGCCCACCCCGGCCCCAGGCTCTGCACACCTTGGTCACACCACGCCTGAAGGCCTCGCGGGTGAGGACGCCCGGGCCATCCACTGTGCGGCCGTCGTCCTCAGGGCCCCAGCTGGCACTGAAGATATGGATGTGCTGCGGCTTCAGGCTCAGGGACTGGGCCTCAATGATGTCTGTGATGGTGCCATCCAGCATGCGCACGCCTGCACGGGTGGGCACAGCCTCTGTGGCGGCACCACCAGCCCCTCTCCTGCCCTCCATGTGGCCCCGCATCACCCAGCACCCAGGGCACTTTCCGCCCTGGCCTATCTGCCAAGTCCCTCTGCCCCCCACTGCAGAGCAGGGCCCTGAGTACCTCCAATGCGGGCATTGTAGGCAACGCCTGTACCACAGAGCCCGTTGTTTGCTATGGCTGCCACTTCCCCAGCACAGCGGGTCCCGTGCCTGGCACCAGGGCAGATCGGGGCGCCTGTCACAGTCCTTAAGGTTCCCTGGGGCTGCCCCCACCGCCCGTGGGATGCCAAGCTCACCGGTTCTCGTCGCTGGGTGTGTATCGTGGCTGAGGGTCTGGGTCGCAGTCGTTAAAGTCATAGCTGGCGACAGGGTCCTAGGGACGGGGTTAGGAAACAGGAGAGGTTGGGGCAGGCTGTGGGACCTGGGGCAGCCCCTGCCCAGGCCCCCTCAGGCTCACATAGTTGGCCCAGAGGTCCGGGTGGTCCTTCTCGATGCCATCGTCCAGGACAGAGATCACAACACCATGGCCGGACAGCCCCTGACTCCAGACCTGCAGGACGTTTAGGTCCGGCTGCACCTGGTTGTTCTGTGTGGGGTGGGGGCCAGTGTCAGGGGGGCTGTGGCCCATCCTGGCCCCACTGCCCTGCCCGGCCCACTCACCATGTACCACTGCCTGGGGAACCAGGGGTCCCTGGGCAAGGCCACGGAGCGCTTTACCCGCCGCCGCAGCGTCTGCTGCTCAAACCACTGCACCTAGAGGGGACGTGGAGGAGGGGAGGGGCTGGGCTGTAGCAGCCACCCTCTGCCAGCCCACCCACCCTCACACCCCACCGCCCAGGGGTCCTGTCCCTCCAAGCCCTTCAACTCTGGGTCAAAGGGCCCAAATCTGCCTCAGGGTCTGCGTGGGCTTCCTCCCCTGTCCACCGCATGGTGACTGCCTACAGAGCTGCAGCTGGAGTGGGATGTATGGGCTGCTTGTCCTGGGGCCTTCGTGGTGTGGTGTGGGGCCTGGGGCCCTGTGTTTGGTGGGGCTGCTCTTTGGGGTCCCCAGGGCCTGCCTGTCTGGCCCTCACGAGCCCGCTCTGCAGCAGCCACAGCTGTGCCCCCACCCAGGGCCTTTTCACAGACCACTCTGCCTGCCCCAGGCTGCACTTCCTTAGACCTCTGCCCTTCACCCTTCTTCATTAATCTACCTCCCCCACACCTCCACTAGCAAATGTCCCCCCGTCCCCTTCTCAGCAGTCAGGACTATCTTCTCCCAATTTGCTCAGCTCCAGACAAGAGCTGGCCTCCAATCCAGTGGCAAGCCCTGGCCTCCCTCGTGGAGACCACATCTTGAGCCCGAACCGCTTCCCTCTGTCCCCAGTGCCCCCGGTGGGTCACAGGCTGCTGTGCCACTCACCTGAGGATCAGCCCCCAGCCCAGCCCACACCCCTCCATGGCTTCCCAAAGCTTGCAAATTCAGTCTCAACTGCCTGACGTGGCATCTGAGTCCTTTTCCTGACCTGGCACCTCTCTGAGTATATGGAGACTGGGTACTTGTCCCAGTTCACCCATGGCCTCATCGGCTGACTTAAGGCAGGAATCCTATTCTTTGGACCTGTTTCTGCTGTCATAACGCCGGCCAGTTCCCTTCTATCCCATGAGTTAGAACTTTATCTGCTACTCCTTATGGGGTACCTGGGAACCTTGATCTTTCAGGGTGCAACAGAGGGGGTAAGGAGGTGACCAGAAATGCTGACAGTGTGTGGGGCTTGTGGTGAGCACCTCACCCACACGCCATCTGTTGCTCTCCACAGACCTCCCCCATATGGGTCCCCACTCTATAGACCGGAGGCCAAGCAAAAACCTAGACTCAGAGCAGGTGACTTGCGGAGTTCACACAGCCATTCGTTACAATCACAAGAATAAAAGGAGGTGGCCGGACCCCAAGAGCTTCGAGGCAGGCTGACCTTGGGCTCCTTCTTCAGGCGCAGGCGGTGTCCCCAGTGCGGGGTCAGGGACTGCTGGGCCACACCCCGGTGCTTCAGGTGAAAGTACTGTCCGTCGGGGAAGATCTGGGAACGTGGGGCAGGCAGTCCATCGCTGGGACGCGGCTGCCCGGTGGAGCCTCCCAGGACAGGGGCCAGCCCTCACGGCCTGCCTTCTCCCCCAACCAGGTGCCCAAGCTGGGGCGGACGGGGCTCTGGGTGCCCTCTGGGTGTCCTAGAAACTGGAGTTGGCCTCGGCAGGGGTGGGCTGGGGCTTCTTGACATCCGAGGGTCGCCTTGCCGTCCCGTTCAGGCCCCGCCCCGTCCCGCCCATCCGGGTCCCACGCACCTGCCCCAGGTTAACGAAGCCGAATTTGCGTGCCAGGCGCTCGGCCTCCCGGTAACCCTGGGACACCCGCACGGCCCAGCTGCTGACATAGATGGGGGATCGGGCCGAGGCCCACCCCACAGCCAGGTGGCCGACGAGGGCCAAGGCTAGGTGCAGCCAGATCGCAAACCCGGCGGGCCGCATGGCGGTGGGGCGGGGCCTCAGAAAGCCCCTCCCCCTGGGCAAACGGCCGAGTCGGACTCAGCGCCTTAGCAACCCTGGAAATGTCTCAATTCCCATGGGGCCTTGCGGCGTTCCCTTGAGGGGTGCGAAGATCCGACAGAACTCGGAAGAAACACGCAGACGCAAACTCCTGGACCCTCAGTCTCCCAGTTTATGCAATGATCCGAATCTGACCCAGTGAAGTGTTTTCACTGCTGCTCTGCCTGGCCCCGCCCCTTACTTGTCCCCGCCCACTTTCCTACACACCCCTCCCTCTAACATTAGCCCGCCCTCCAATGTGGCCCAACCAGAACTACTCTTTCGAGTAAGTCCCTCCTCCTCGATTTAGCTCCGCCCCGTCCCCCTCAGAGTCCGTCCTGCCAGCTTTATGATCAGCTCCGCCCCTCCCCTGTTCGCGCCGAAGAATCTCTTCCTATTTCTCCAATCAGTTCTGGTCTTTCTATGGCCCCTCCCACCAGCTCCACCCGCCTCAGCCCGCTTGTCACCTTCCCCCCCCCAGCTCCACCCACACAATGGCTCAGCCAATAATCCCCACGGTGGCCCCGCCCCTCGCCTGTCACGTCTCCCTCCCGCTTGGCCAATCGGCTTCCTCGGTCGCCGCGCCCCGCACCCCTCCCCTCCCGTTTGGGTCGCCGCTGCGGCGGCCGCGGGCCGCCAGTGGGCGATGCGGCGGGGAGGAGGGGGCGGGCCCCACCTCCTTTGTCCGCCCTGCCCTCCCATTGGCCGAGGCGGGGTCCAGGAGGCTGAGAACAGCCCGGGGGTGGAGACCGGCCCGGGGGCGGGGAGAGGCAGCCGCAGGCCGCGGAAAGCTGCAAGCACGCTGCAGCGTCGGTGCACGGGGCGATCGAGCTCGGGCTGCCAGCCCAGGGCCCGCCAGTGCCATGGACAGCCTGCGCCAGCGCTTCGAGCACCTTCTGGAACAAAAGAACTTGGCCACCGAGGCGCTAGGGGCGCTCGAAGCCAAGACAGGTGTCGACAAGCGGTACCTGGCCACGGGTGAGCCGTCCGGGGGTGCTCGGGCCGCCGCCTCATTTCGCCGACGGGCGCACTGAAGCCCGGACTCCAGGCCGCAGACCTGCCGCCTCCAGCCCGTGTCGTCAGCGGGGTCAGGCTAGACGGCGGGGCGCACCTGCTGTTTGGCAGGGGACTGAAGTCCTGGGGAAGGGTCTGCCCTCAGCCCCTCCCCTGCCCTGCCCCTGCAAGTGACCTCGGTGAGGAGCACCCCACTCGGGCCCTCGGGGCAGGAGGCCAACCTCTGTCCCCTCTCTCGGGCATTGGGTGTCCGCCAGGCCTCAGTCCGGTTCCTCCAGTTGCGCTGCCAGCTCCAGTGGATGGCAGGGGGAGGGAGGGAGCGGGCAGGCAGCCAGTGCCCTGCAACCCGCCGCCCCTTTCCACATGGACCCCAGCCGGCCAGCAAGTGTAGAGATCTTTCTGTTTTTCCGAGGGGTGCACCAAGCCTGGAGGAGAAGGATCCCTCCCACCTCCTGGCTTCTCCACCGCGATTTTCCCGCTTGGACCCCCCTGAGGCTTGCCTTTGCCCCCACCAATGGCTTTGGTCCCTCCGTGCTGGAATAGTTGAGTTGGGTTGTTTGGCGGCCATGGTGGGGGGGGCGAAAGGTGGGATGGGGACCCCAGCACAAAGGGGGGTCCAGCCGCCCCCATTATAACTTCCTTCTTCCCTTCCCCTTTGGTCCTTGGTGAACTCACATGCCCCGTGCCGCTCTCCCTAACTGTCTAGTAAGCACCCCTTCAAAACAGCTCTCTCCTCTATTTTTCAATGCGTCAGGCCCATATTCTCTGCAGGCTCTTCGTGGAAGCCCCCCTGGAATGAATCCCGAGGATGCTTTGTCCCCACGCTGGTCGGGGTGGAGTGGGGAGGGCTCCGGGTGAGGAGCGGTCACGTGTTTTGAGCACTTTCTGTGTGCAGATCTCATGCTCGGCAGCCCAGGGAGGGTCCGAAATCTGTTCCCTGAGGCCCCCAGTGCCCAGCCCATGTCAGCCCAGCCGGGAACCTGCCCCGGGGAGCAGGCCTTGCCCTCCTGGCTGGCCTTCCACATCCCAGGCACCAGCTCCCAGGGAATGGAGGCCAGAGAGCACTAGGGAGGGGCCGGCTGGGAGGGCTGCCCGGGAGACTGGGCGCCACAGGGTGAAAACTGAGGCCCAGGGAGGCAGGGGCTTTGTGGGAGGCTGCCCCGGCCTCCTGCCCTGTCTGGAGCATGCCCCCCACCTGCCCCTCCCACCCCATCTGTTGCTGCTCGCTGGGGCTGGGCCCCTCCACCTGTGTCCAAGGTCATCCTCCTACTGCTGAGGCTGCAGAACTAAGGATTGAGGGAGAGGTGCCCTGGGAGGGCCGATCCTCCCCAGCCTAGCCGTTTCCCGGGGGGAGGGGCAGGACATTCCCCCTCCCCCAGTCGCGGTAACCCTTGGGCCCCATCTGCCCAAATGTCCAAGTCCCCCACCACGGGTCCAGAGGAGGCGGTGCCTGGGCCTCCTGGGGCCAGCTGGGGAGGCCCCGCCCTCACCTGACCCCACACCTGAGGGATAAAGACTAAAGCAGGTGGAGCAAGGGTGGGTGGCTGTGCCCTTTGGTCTACAAGTGACGCACCACCTCTCTCTCTCTCTGCAGATAACAGCCTGGGTGCTGGGGAGGGTGGCTGTACATGCTCCCCGGAGCCCAGGTGCTCCCCTCTTCCCACCTAACGTTTTGTTCTGGCCTTTGAGGTAGAGCGGGGAAGCACAGAGCCCTCACACAAGCGCTTAATAAATGCGGCAGTTACCATTACTGCTTTCCGGGTGGCGAGCGCCCCGGCACCCTCCCTCCCCAGCCAGCTTTCCTGGGAGCCTGCACTGCTGGGAGCTCCGTGAATGTGTAGAAAGGAGCCGGTCTGCCAGGTCGCCCTGAGCTGACTCCATGCCCCCGCTGGCAGCCAGGTTGCTCAGGCTCCAGCAGAGAGGTGCTGGGGTCCTGTGGCGGGCTGGTGCAGGAGCGGGGTCTCTCCTGGGCACCTGAAGCCCACGTTGCGCTGTGCTGCCTCCCGGGAATGCAAAGATTCTCAGACGGGGCCATGCTGCCCCCCTCAGGACACCGGGCAGTGCCTGGGACATTTGTGGTTGTCTGGACCTGGGATGCCCCTTTCACCATGGGAGCCAGGGGTGCCACTCAACCCCCACGGTGCCCAGGACAGCTGCCCACAGAATGACCAGCCCCGTGTGTCCACAGCGCTAGGACTGAGAAGCCCAACACCAAGATAAAACAATGGTCGCTTTTCCCTGCTCCCTGGAAATCAACTCTAAACAACAGAATGGCCTCGCTGTTAGCTTCCCCCCGCCCCCACTTAAGACGCTGTCCTCCTGTGCCTAGTATCTCCATAGGATCTGGAGGGGAGGTAACATTGTAGGTGATCACTTTTCATTCAACAGACACTTACTGGACAGTGACTCTATCTACCAGGGCCCTGCCTGCTCTTGGGGAACTCACAGTCCGGTGGGGGAGATCGCCATGTTGACAGGGCGCTGGCCGCACACACGGGGCTCAGCGCCACGGTGGGTGTTGCCCAGGCACAGAGGGGGCAGCTGATGCATCCTGAAGGGATTGCCAAGGCTTCTGGGAGGAGTCAGGGCCACGGACTGTTGGCCAAGCCAAGAGGACGCCAGGGGCACAGGCTGGGGTGGGATTGTGCCAGACCCTCACCCACGCCCGTCTTTCCTGCAGGAGCTGCCACCCTGCTAAGCCTGTATCTTCTGTTTGGCTACGGGGCACCTCTGCTGTGCAATCTCATTGGCTTTGTGTACCCAGCATATGCTTCGTGAGTGTCCACTGGCGCTGTAGGAGGGGGGCGTCTGGAGCTGCGGGCAGACCCTGACCCTGTCGTTCCCACCCCAGCATCAAAGCCATCGAGAGCCCAACCAAAGACGACGACACTGTGTGGCTCACCTACTGGGTGGTGTACGGCCTGTTCGGGGTGGTCGAGTTCTTCAGCGACCTACTACTCTCCTGGTTTCCTTTCTACTACGTGGGCAAGGTGGGCACTGCCCGGGATGCACGTGGGACTGGGGGCTTCTGGGAGCAGGCAGGCAGCCAGCAGGCTGGGGCCCCAGGGAGTGCCCATTCCCCCGCCACCTGGGACATGAAAGGGAAACAGGTGCCACCAGGGGGTTGTCTGATGGGGACAGCCAGGCCCACCCTAAAGGCACCGAGTCGGGGCCCCGTGTCACCTCCCCCCTGTGCCCGCAGTGTGCCTTCCTGCTGTTCTGCATGGCCCCCTGGCCCTGGAACGGGGCTCACATGCTGTATCATCGTGTCATTCGCCCGCTGTTTCTAAAGCATCACGAGGCCGTGGACAGCGTCATGAGCAACCTCAGTGGGCAAGCGCTGGACACGGCAGCCGGAATAACCAGGGATAGTACGTCCCTGCGGGGCACCGGGGTGTCTGTGTGTCCCTGTCTGTCTGTCTCTCCCCACCACGGACCCCCTGCCCCACCACTCACCTCCATGCTGCCTCCCTCCTATCCTGGCTTTCACTAGCTGCCCCCATCTGACCCTCTGCTTCCCCTCTTACGGTCCGTCTCTCTCTCCTGTGCTCTCGGGAACCAGTTCTGCAGGCCCTGGCCCACAGCCGGGCCCTCATCTCCCCAGTGGACCGTACGTAGCCCTTGGCCCTGGGAGGTAGGGCCTGTGTGTGCATGCCCGTGTGTATGTGTGTGTGTGTGTGTGTGCCCCTCAAGCAGCCTCTGGCCGGTGGTCACAGCCTCCCCCACCTCCCCCACGGCCCTGTCTCTGTAGCCAAAACCAGCGTGACTCAGCCCCAGAAGGGCAAGTGAGGCACCCACCCAGCTCCCGCACAGACCTGCTGGCTGGCACGCTGGGCGACACGGCTCAGCCCAAGCCCTCTGCGGATTCTGCGACTGACTCCCCGGCCGACCCCTCCACCAGCCCCTCGTCCCCGAGCAAGTCAGGTTGTGGGAGTCCCTCCAGAGCCACCGTGGGGCAATTCCAGGCTCATCCCATGGCCACCAGCTCTGCCACCATCTTCAAGCTGCCCAGCAAGTCCCGGAGCCGGCCTCAGTCCCGAGCCAACTCCTCCGGCCAGCCCCACGCCCCCAGCCAGCAGCACCCCCACACCTCCAACACATCCTTGGGCCCTTCGCACCGGTCCTCAGGCTCCATGCAGCGGACCAGCACCTCCTCCAGCCAGGAGCCCCCGCCCAGACAGTCCCCCAGCCACACCCGCAGCCCCAGGGGGACCCCTGATGGGCCAGGGAACGGGATCCCCCAGGCCTCTACGTCCAGCCTACACCAGCAGCCGTCCTCAGCACAGCCCGCCAGCAGCCCCACGGTGCCCGAGCTGCCTGTGTCCTGCCAGTCTGACTCCTCCCTGGAGGACTACACCTTAGAGACCCCCACCGAGGTCACCCGTAGCCGGCCGTACCACCACGGCCTCCGATGCCTGCAGCACTGCTGGAGGCTGAAACACCTGGCCTGCTAGGAGAGGACCCAATAAAGTCACCTGACCAGCTTGTTGCGTCATCTGTCCTGGGGGACCAAGGATGAGGCGCTTCCGGGACGGCGGGTAGGGGGGCACTGTCTCATCTCATCGGGCAGGTGCTGTGAGCCCATTTCACAGAGGCCCAGCAAGGCAAACTTGCCAGGTGCCCGAGATGGATCTGAGACGAGAATTCTGGGGGAAGTCCTTTACTGGGGAAGGGACCTCAGGAAGCCCTGATACAGCGTAGGGACAGGAGGTGGTAAAGAAGGCGGCCATAACACCTGTGGACACCTGGAGCTCCATCTCAGTGCAACACACACCTCTCAGGCGCTAAGGGAGCCGGGCATGTAGCCACCAGGACTGCCGGGCACTGGGGGAGTAGTGACCACCATCCATTCCAGCCAGCACCCTGCGGGCAGCACAGGGGCTGAGGCCAGAGGAAGCCGTCAGTGAAGAGGCCGGGGTGGTAGGAAGGCTGGCAGTGGATGTCAGCCTGGCATTCGAGGGAATTGGGAGAGGGGAGATGGGCAGGCCTGACAGCTTCCTCCAACCTGCGGCTGGTGTCCCTTTGCAGGCCAGCATGGCCCTGATCATAAAATCAGGCAGACAAGACAGAAAAGAGGTGGATAAAAGTGTAAATAATCCAGCAAGCAGGCTGCAAATGCAGCCCAGTGATATGTAAAAACATAGAACAACCCCATGCAAGTTGGGGTTCTGGAAATCAGAGCCTGGGTTGGAAGCTAGCGTCAGGGAGCTGACCAGGGAGGTGGTCTTGGGGGGCTGGAGATTAAACTCTACCCTGAGCCTGGGCCAGTGTTTAACCCCATATCTTCCGGCCACGGAGTTCACTCGCCCTTCAGGAGGAGGCTGTAACCCCAAGGGCAGCTCCCACCATCCAGAGACAATTTGTGGGGGAGGTATCTGCAGCCACAGCTGGGTACCTGGGGGCCTGGCCTGGTCCACATCTGCCCCTCCCACCCAGGCTCCACCTCTCCAGGGCCCTAGCTGGTCCCCATGTCTGGGGGCGACACTGGAAGGTTAGGAGGATAAAGCCCATTGCAGCTGCTCACGACACTGGAACTCGGCGGTTCTCAACTGCACGTGACTTGGTCCCAGGGACGCTGGGCGATGTCTGCAGGCACAGTAGGCTTCTGCCTTGACACCCCTGCAAGCCCTTGTCATCCTTCCCTCTGCTTCGCAGGCCCAGCTTGTCCCCAGCTGCCCCAGGTTACCGGCTGGGTGATAGCAGAGGGAGTGCTGCTGAATCCCTGAGAATGTCGGTGGGTGAGGAACAGGAACTGGTGAGCCGTGGGTCCAGCTCATTCGTTGGATTGCTCAGCAGATACTGAGCACCTGCTGTAGGCCAGACTGTGCTCCGGAAGTCAAGGGCGCAGTCATAACCCAGAGACAAAAATCCTCTGCTCCCAGGGATTTGGAGAAGGGACAGTCAACATCGTAAACATGTAACATGTCAGAAGGAGGTGAATGTCATGGGGAAAAATAAATGGGCTGCAATGTCAGGAACCATCAGAGAAGGCCTCTCCGGAAATGACATTTGAGTACAGACGCGAAGGCCGTTCAGGGAGAGAAAGCCCGTGCAAAGGCCCTGGGCAGGACCCACCCGGCAGGTTAAGGGCCAGGAGGCCTGTCTGGCTAGCTCAGTGAGGTGTGGGGGCGGGGGCACGGGTGAGTCTGTAGAGTGGACCACCCCGATACCAGGAAGGCGAGGTGAGGACTTTGGTTTTTGCCCTGGATGTAGGCTTACCTGGGACAAAAAGGTGGGGGTGGAGGATAATAATTAATGAACCCCCAACGTGCTAAGGAGTCCACATGATCTCAGGATCTGCTTATCTTGGCCCAGCTGTTTGAAGAATAGGGCGTGGCTGTGGCCCAGGGGAGGAGATGGCAGCCCTGGGCTCGCCCAGCACCTGGCAGGGGCCCCTCCTGTCTGAGGTGACCCTCCAAAGACTGTCAGGGGATCCCACCCCAGATCGGCTCACCATGGAGCACGGTGGGGAACCACACCTGTCTTACCATGTGGGAACAGTGGCTTTAAGCCCCCCTCCGACTTGTTTCATTTTAAATTTAAACACAGAAAAGTGGAACCAGCCACTCAGAGCTAGTAATGCACTCCAGCCAGCCCCTGCCAGGCACTTGCCCCCTGCAAAAATGTGCCCCCATCCTGACTCCACTTCCTTTGTCCTTGGACATCCCTTCTGCGAGCCGCAGTCTGTTCTCTCCTGACTCTGACCCACCACGCTGCAGGGGGAATCAGAGCACGTCCCTCTGTAGGGGGGTCCGCAGTCCATTGACCCCATTCCACTGTTGAACAGGCATTTGAGCTGCTTCCAGTTGTGGGTGATTGTGACCAAAAGTGCTAGAACATTCTAGAACCTGCCTTTGGTGAGCAGTCTCGCTTGCCTTGGGCACACCTGCCTGAGGTTGCAGGGTGTACGGTAAGCGCACATGTGCCCTGTGGCAGCCAAAACAAACGGCCACAAAGTGGGCAGTTTAAAGCAACAGAGATTTATTCTCTCATGACCTGAAGGGCAGGTGTCAGCGGCCAAGGTGCCGTGCTGCCTTGGAGGAGGGAGGGTCCCTCCTGCCTGACCCCTGCTTCTGGGGCTCCAGCGTGCGCTGGCTTGTAGCCACATTACCCACCTCTGCCTTGGCCTCCTCTGGGCCCCTCTGTGCATCCCTTACAAGGACACCTGCCATTGGATTTAGGGCCTGGCAGGATAATCCAGAATGACGTACCTTCAGCCCTTACACCTGCCAAAACACTTTTTCCAAGGAAGGTCCCATCCACAGGTCCCGGGGTCCTGACTTGGATATGTGGGTTCATCTGCAGGAGACACTACGAAGTGTTTCCCAAAGTGGTCACCAACCTACCCGCAGGCACAGCCCGGGGCTCCCAGCAGGTGATTGACAGGCTGCGGGTCCCCCAGGTCAGTAAGAGAGAACAGGCAACAGGGGTGCTGTCTGCAGAGAATTAAAACCCTTAAGAAAAGCCTGGGAACTTTTGTGGGGCTCTTGAGCCAATGTCCGAATTACCATTGTTTTACTAACAAGGTAAAAGTTTCAAACTGGAGGGTTTCAGTTCTTTAACTTTTAAAATACGCTGGATCCTGGGGGAGGTCAGTTTGGAGAATTCCCAGCTCTGGACGCGTGAGGCCTCGGCTGCGCCAGCTTCCTGCCCGTGGACATCCTTCTTAGTACCCACTTGAAGTCACCTGGGGCAATGCTGGAGTCCCCTGCACGGTCCGGCAGGGACACAGCAGATAACGATAAAGAGGAGGCCATAGAGATGCAGGTGCAGAACTGGGGTCACTTCATTTCTGTCATTCTGTGTAACCACCGGAGTTTTTATTTATGTTTAAATGTAAAATGGAATGTTTTTGCCTGGCCGGGTCCACACGCTGATTCTACCGTGAGGAGCGCCGCAGAGTTAGAACGTCTTTAGAATTGCATTGTCTTCTCTTTGCAAATTGTCGGCTTGTTTCAAAGCTAGAAGAGCACGTCAGGAGCGAGGTACTATCTCCTGAGATTGTTACAGGACCCTCGTGGTAACAATGTTGCTGCAGGGGGAGGGGGTGCACCCTGCCCTACCCTCTGTCCCCAGCAGGTAGGTGCCTCGCTGGGCTGGCCAGTCCAGCTGGTTCCGGAGCCGGTGAAGCTCAACCTTGGCCTCACGGTGGGAGGTGGGAGAGATGGTGACAGGCGCGGACAGGGGATGTGTGAATGGGGGATGGGAGCCCTTGGGGCTGCAGGCCACAGGGCGCCTGGAATCCCTGGCTTCCAGTCTTGCCACCAGAGGGCACCCAGCCTCCACCTTGCCCTGGAGGGTGGGGGTCCCACATTCTTCAGCTTCAGCATTTGTTGCAGATGACAGGCCAGGCCTGGGTTGACCCAGGCACTGCTGGGTCTCCAGTATACAGCAGGCGCTCAATAAATGCTCAATGAATGGGCAGGGAAGGGGATCCAGAAGAGGGCTGTTCCCACCATCAGGACTGGGAGAGGCTGAAAGGGAGCTTGAAGTGGGGGAAACCGAGGCCCGGCGGGGCAAGGCCCGGCCTAAGGTCACCTGCAAAGACAGGGCTGAGCCCATGCAGACCCATACATCACTCATCCGTCACCTATTCCCATCTTCCCACGCCCCAGAGAAAAACACAAGTGGTATATTACGGAAGAGCAGATTGTCCCAAATGACAGCATGAGCCACCCCATCCAGGGTGGGAAGCCATCAGGGGAGATTTTCAGAGCAACTGTGACACCCCACAGGAACCCCCAATTCACATGACTGAGGTCTGCCCTCCCGGCTCCTGGAGACCATCGGGAAAATATTTCCGGGAAAACGCACAGGGATGGGTTCAGGCTGAGACCAAGAGCTCTGACCTGCCTCCTGCACTGGGGAGGGGTCCCCTGGCTGACCTGAGATGAATGTGTGGCCCCCAAGGCTACAGGGCGAGGGGGCTTGGGAGCTGTGAAGCTCCGTTTACCTACTTCTTCCCCCCTTCTGGCCCCACACGGTGCCAGACCCTGAGTGGAGAAGGGGAGGGGTACTGAGACCACTGGCGCACACTGTGAGGTCGTATCAGCGCATCCCCGAGTGTCTGTGCTGGGGTCTGAGTAGCTGGAGTGCCCTTATTTTTAAAAAAGGTATGCATAAACATTAAAGAGGCCTAAAAAAGGGGTGAACTGCGGTGTTGCCTGAAAGAAATCCAGCCAGAGTGGGTGGCTGAGGCTATTAAGATTCTCTCTCTGAATTTCCTGGTACATTACAGTGCCTGGCTAGGCATGTCTTCTAGGGGACATGTGTGTTTGTGACAGTGTCTCTGAATACATGAGTGTGTGTGTGTGTAAGTGGCAGTGAGAAGAGGGAGCACAGAGTATCAGGGAGTTAAACGGTGATGAGTTTCCTGGCAGCCAGGGTGAGAGAGGAAATAAGAGTCAAAGAGTCTATGCAGTGTGTCCTCACTAGTGCCCGCCTGCTGGTGACAGCGGACGTGGCTGTGGCAGGGGTGTCTAGGTGTATGCACAAGGGAGTCACACAGCTGTAGGTGGAAGATTATTCTGATGTCCCTGGAAACCTGGGAACCCTTGTAGGGGGCATATGTTGAGCTTGAGCCTAGTCAGGCACTCTCCTTGCTGTGTGTGGCAGGGGTCTCATCTGGGGCTCAGACAGGGCACTGCCGGGCAGCCAGGCGCACTCGGCTGTCCTCAGCGGGGGTCCAGGGCCGGGCATAGCCGGCATGGGGCAGCAGCAGCCGGTCCTGGGTGCCATCCAGGCTGATGAGGCGCTGGGCAGCCAGCAGGTATTCGCGATGGAGGTCCAGCAGCGGGCAGGGGCAGTGGCTCAGTGCCCACACGTACTCAAGGGCCCGCAACGGGGAGAGATTCTTGTAGATGAGCTGCACGCGCACCTCGTAGCGGGTCTCCCGGGCCTGGCGGAGGCGGCCCAGTACCCGCGCCCGAAACACTGTGGGCAAGGCAGAGCTGAGGCCTGCGGGACACTACGGGTTCTGTCCACACGCCCGTTGCCGCACGAGGGACACGGGGGTCAGGTGGGGCATTGGGGTCCCTGGGGACGGTGGAGAGCGGACTGAAGGGGTCACTGTCAGGTCAGGGGTTCATGAAGGACTCAGGTGTCAGATTAGGGCAAAGGATCAGGTTAAGGAGTCAAACAGGTCAGAAGGGGTCAAGTGGGGTCAAGGTAGAGTCAGGTCACAGCTGGGGTCAACAGGACAGAGACCAAATTCAGGTCCATTAGGGGCCATGTGAGGGTTGGGGTCAGGAGTTTCTCACCAAAGTCGCTGCCGCAATAGTGGAGAAGCCGGTGGGCGCGGCCTCGGGTGTCGGAGCAGGGGGGGCAGGGGTCTGCGGGGGCAGGGAGGTCAGGGACACAGGCCTCACCTTCCCACTTGCCCACGCCCTGTCCATCCCCGCCTCACCTGGGGTGGAGTGCGGGGTCCACGAGGGGTTGGCAGCGGGGGCTGCGGGGGGCTCAGGGGGCTGCCGCTCCACCTCCCGAGGCTGCGGCTGCCGCAGGGACCAACCCAGGGCCTGCGCCTGAGCCTGGAAGGGGCCGTAGAGCTCCCGAGGGAGCCAGAACTCGAACTCGATGCCGGGGTTGGGCTCCTGCAGGAGGACCTGGGTGGGGGTGTCACACAGCAGAGAGCCGCGCTTGGACCTGATGGCCCAGCCTCCCCGCTGTGACGCTCTGTCCCCGGCCTCCCCCTGCTGACCCTCTACCCCAACTCTGGACTCTACCCGGATCCTCTGGCCCACCTCCCCGGGGTCCCCCTGAGCCACGCCGCACCTGCAGGAGCAGGTCTTGGGAGGTGGGCCCGGCCGCACGCAGAGTCTCCTCCGGCCCCGGGGCGCGGGTGTAGACCACGCGGGTGCCGGCCGCCTCGTAGGTCCCGGGTGGGCTGACCGCCCAGTTCCCATTGAGTACGTAGCGCCCGTCGAACCCCATCAGCGCTGCAAGGGAAGGGTCAGCCCGGGCCCGAACCAGCCCGCCCGCCTCCCGACCCTGGCGCCCCCTCCCGGGGCCTCAGGCTCCCCAGCTGCATCCGGGCGGCAGCAGGGCGCCGCCCCCTCGGACCTGCCGTACCCAGGTGGTTGCGGCTCCGGTGGGCCACACGGACGTGTCTGGCGCCCTCGGGGATCAGGGTCACGTTCCAGTACCCAGCGAAGGCACCTGGGCGGGAGGGCAGGAGGGAGTTGGGGTGTGTGTGGGGGGATGCATTTGAAGATTAAATGGGACACTGTACGCACAGGAGGTTTGCCAAGGTCCTGGAACCCCGGAACACGCTCTGTACACGTTTGCAGTTATTATCGCAGAAGTGCGGCAGCGAAAAAGTTACAATCCCATGGGGGGCGGGGAAATCTGGCCTTGACCAATCAGAATGATGAGCGAGAGGGGCTGGGCCGTTGATCTGCCCAATCAACACAAGACTTCGCTTCCGGGCCCGCGGCTCATTAAAGGGCCCGCTGGGGGCTAGCGGAGAGGACGGGGCGGGCGGTCACCAGCGTCGCGGAACACGCGCTGCACCAAGAGGCACGAGTCGTTGGTGCCGCCGCAGCGGCCGCAGTGGTCCTCGCGGGCGTCGGAGCCCAGCAGACCGTCACAGCCGGCGCTCTGAAGGGGTGGGGAGGACACCCGCCACGTCAGACAGCCCCCCAGTCCGGGGCCTCCGGGGGCGGTGCCTGCGGCATGGGGCGGGGCTCTGGGCCCTAAGGGGCGGGGCCTAGGGACGACGGTGGGACCTGAAACAGAGGAAAGGGGGGCCCCGGGAGTGAAATGGCAGGGCTTGGAGGGGAGAGGCTGGGTGGAACTAGTGGTGGGTGGGCCTGGGTGAGAGGGGCGTGGCCTAAGGAAGAGGGCGGGTTATGGAACCAAAAGAAATGGGGCATGGGTGCGGAACTGAAAGTAAAGGGGCGAGTCTTGGAGGGAGGAGGATGGGGTGGGACCCAGAAAGGGGCGGAGTCAGGGCGGGAGGGGGCGGGCCTAGCGAACGAAAATGACATGCGTGGGCGGGGCATACGTGCGTGGGCGGGGCCCGGCGAGTCCTCACCAGACAGCGGCCAGCCACGCAGAGCTCCCGGGCACCCCGGCTGCAGGGGGTGCCGTCCAGGACGCGGCCGAAACTGTGGTAGAAGGCGTGCCCCTCAGCCAGGCAGTTGAGGTCGCACTGGTTGGGCGCTGGGTGCAGGAGGAATTGTTGGGCAGGGGCGCCTCTGAGTTCCAGCGCGCTCCCTGCCAGGCTCCCCCAGCAGCCACCACCGCCTCGGGCAGATGTGACCCAGAGCCTCAGCCAGAAGCCCACATGCAGGCTGAGGCCGAGCCAGGACTGGCCCGTGGCGTTCTGCCTCCAGCTCCCAGGACACTCTGGCAAGCATCCTGGGCTGCAAGCATGCATTCACTTTGTGACCTAACATTAGGGCGTCCTTGCATGTTACCCATTGCTGACATAGTTACCCTTCTTCATTCGTTTTTCATTCCACAAACACTCGATGAGCACCTACTGTTTTCCACAGGGCAGGGGCCCATTAAAAAGAGTCCAGGGCTGACTGAGTCCCATGTAGCCTGTGTGTGCTGCTGGCCTTCCCTGGGACTCAGTTTCCCCCTGTGCCTGGCACACAGGCCCGTGGCCCTCATCCCTGATCCTCCTGCTTAAGCTCCCTCCACCTCCCACCTCCCTGAGCCTGGCTGGCAGGCTCTGCCTGGAACAAAGCCCACGCTGGACTGGAGGGCCTCTGTGGGGCGGGACCATGGCAAGTTTCCTCCAGTTCTCGGGGCAAAGAAAAAAAGTGAGGTTGACGGACGGAACTTCCTGCGTTCTAGGCTTTTCTTCTCTGTGTCTGGCCCCACCATGGTGTCTGAAGCTGCCGGGGTCCCGTAAATCTGGAGGCGCACTGCCCCAGGCACACAGTTATATAACTCGCTATTTTCAGCTCAGTGTGACATTCCCTGCTACCACTGCTTTCGGGGTAAGTTTGAGAACTGTTTGCTTCTTCATACAACTACAAGTAAACCCTCGGCCTGGTGTTCAGCCCTGTACAGAATAAACCCTGCTTCACACCTCACACATGCTTTTCGCCTTTCCCCAACTCCTACATATCGTTCAAAGCCCCAGTGTTAATGCTCGCTTCTCCTTGCAACACTTCAAGTCCCCTTCCTTTGTAGCAGCCACTTCTCCCTGCCAGCTCTGATTTGTTTCTTCCAGACCAACAGGAGGGCAGGCTCCTCACCACCATGGAAGGGCACCCACTGGTAGGTCTTCTGGGTGCCCAGTACAGGGCGGCCATTGTAGAGGGCACATTGGAGGTCTCGGAAGGGCATGGCCCCTGGCGGACAGTCCTGGAGAAAGAGATGGGTAGGTCAGAGGCTGGGCAGCCCCGGGGGAGACCAGAGAACCTGGGGGAGGGTGGTGAATGTGTTCGGCGGCAAGAGTCGGGGAGCAGGAGCGCTTCAGGGCAGACTGGAGGGTCTAGGGGGCGGGCAGGACTTACTGGCAACTGGCAGAGTCGGTACTCATGGGAGTCCCCCGAGCAAAGCTCTTCCCCGGGAAGCCTGCGAGGATCAGGGTGGTCAGAGCATGGTCAGGACCCCCAGGAACCCCCTCCCCAGTGCTGGCCTATCCTCCCCCCACCTGGCCGACCCACCCACATTCCAGCCGCATCAGTGGGATTAGAAAGCGCAGCATGTGTGGGCAGGCTGAGGGTGCGGCCAAGGCTGGGCTGGGCTGGCAGGAGAGGAGGCGCAGGGACCCCCTCCTGCCCCACCCCACCCGGCTGAGCCCCAGCTCCCCACTCACCAGATGCAGTGCCGGCTGCGCACAGAGAGCCCCTGCCCACAGGAGCTGGAACAGCGAGTCCAGGAACCCCATGGAGTCCACTCGCCTGGACCCTACTTGGGGAGCCAGAGGAACAGTCAGCCTGGAGGGGACGCTGGCCACCCCCAGGCCGCTGGCCAGATGCGCATGCTCACTGCCTCCTGGGCTCATGTCGCCCTTACCTGAGCACTGCCCCCCACACTGCAGTTCAGGAGGGTCCACAGCAGGAGCAGAGAGCTCCGGGAGGGGTGGGCTCTGGAGAAGCAGAAGGGGAAGCTGCAGTGGGGGTGCCAGCAAGCCAGGGGGCAGAGCCCCAGCTCTGGTTGTATTATTTGGGGCATACCTGAAATATGGGGTGCTAATAGGGTCCCTTTTGCAGGAAAGTTTTGAGGGGTCTCTCAGATCAGGTAAGAAATGGAATGCATGGAGGCTGGTACGGAGGGGGAAGGGCTCAAAGAATAATCCACTATTATTAGGATCGGTTGTTCATTGTCTTAATGCACATAGTAGGTGCTTACTGATGGAAGGACTCATTCCAGGATAGTGCACAGGGGTCTGCAGGGTTGGGGTCCCCTCCCTACTCTCCCCGCCATTGTCCCTACCTTCCCGTGTGGTGGTGGGGAGCCAGCCACTCTGCTTCCCGGGGTCTTGGTTTCCCCATCTGTGCAGTGGGGACCAGCGAGGTTCAGTCCCGGGCTTGGTGAGACCTTGCAGAGGGGGTGGCCAGCTGGTGGTGGGCTGGGTCAGGAGCCAGGTCCCTGGCCGAGGCCCCCCAGCCGCACCCTGGCCTCCAGAGCCCCCGCGGCTCCCAGGTCCACGGCAGCAGGGTCGCCGGGGCGCGGGCAGAGGTGGCCTGGTCCCCGTTGGGTCGGTGCCTCATGGCCTCATGTGCAGAGGGTGTGGGGCCCTCCTGGGGCAGCTGCAGACGGAAAGAGGCTGCTGATGAGGGTGACGCAGGAGAAAGGGCAGCACCCGGGGCTGGTTTCCCTCCTTGGGCCTGTTTCCCCCTCTGCCAGGGAAGGATGAAGTCCCTCGGCGTCCAGGCCCTCTGTGTGACCTCGGCATCTCAGAGGAGGGGGAAGGGGAGTGGCTGCTCATGACTCCTTTCCTGGGCCAAGGCGAGGGAGCCCAGCGGTCAGCTGTGTCCAAGGGCATGCAGGACAAGCTGGAGCCCTCCGGCCCCCAAAGTCCCGTGCCGTGGACCCTCTGAAGCCCGTTTCCCTGGTCCTCAGGCCCTCCTGGCTGACATTAGGACTTGGGCCACCAGGGGTTGGGGCAGAGGTGGCTCCAAGTGCTGAGAAGCTGGGGGGCGGCTGGGCGGGAACCCCCTGACCACAGCTGCGCGGCCAGCTGTGTCTCTGCCCCTCTGAGAACCTAGGGCCCCGTCCGATCCAGGAAGCAGGTGGAAGTTGGAGAGAAGAGCTGAGATGGGGAGGAGGCTTGGCTTTCTGACACCCACACAGGACTCAGCACTGGCTTGTGGGGTGGGGGTCTAGGTAATGGAAAATGAGGGGCTAGAAGGATCCCCCCTTCTACTCCCCAGACCCTCTCCCAGAGGGGCAAGACGCCTACACCCTTGGGCGCCATCCTGATGGCTGGTGTCATCCCAGGACAAGCCACGCTTCTAGGTCTGTTTCCCCAGGAGGAAGGGAGGGAGGGGTGAGCTTTCCTGCACCCCGGGGACTGCTGCCCGGGCACCCCTGTAGCCTGACGGCTCCCAGAGACGGAGGGGAAACCCTGTCCGGATAGTAGGGGGATTGGAAGAGGGACTTACCGGCCTCGTAGAGCCCAGGCGGCGCGTCCTGGCTCTCCAGGCGGCCCCAGGGCGGGCGGAAGCGGCGGGGCCCGCGGGGAGGGGCGCGGGGAGCCCGGGGCGGCCCCTCCCATCGGGCCTCCCGGGGCGCGTCCCTGCCGGGGTCCCCAGGGCCTGCAGCCTAGTGCGCCCTCGCGCGGCCGCGGCGCGCTTGGGCAAGGATCTGCAGCAGGGGACTGCCTCGCACGGGCCCGGGGCGGGGGGCCCGCCGCCTGGCGTCCGAGCGCCCGTGTCTCGGTGACCTTGGGAAGCCCGGGTCTGGGGAGCCGCGCGGGAACTGAACGCCGCTGCCCCCTCCCGGGGCTGCTATTCCGGGCGCCGCGCTCAGGGCCCGGGAATGTGCGCCAAGTGGGGTGGCCCTGCCAGGGTTCCCGGAGTCTGGGGCGCTGCCCCCTCCCCACCGGTGCCCAGATCGCGTCCCCTCGAGGGCCCCCTTTCCCGGTCACTAATCCCCTCCCCAGCCCCTCCCCCTCCCCCTCCCTCAAAGACGCCCCACTCAGGAACTGGCGCGCCTGAGTTCGGATCCCAGGACTCCCGGCCACCCCCAGCGCAGGGCCCCAGCGCACCGCGGGAAGCTCAGCCCCAGGGGCCGGGCGTGGGGGGCGGAGAACCCCCTCCCGGCCCTGCCTGGCGCATTCCCGGGAGCTGCTGTCACCAGAGGGCGCGCCCCACCCCGCCTCCCGCCTCCACGCCCGCCCCGGACTAGGAACTGTGGCTGTGGGGCAGACCCGGGTCCAGAAAGTCTCCCTCCCGTGCGCCTGTGGTCCCCTCCCCTCCGACCTCAGTCTCCCCATCCCGGCAACGGGGTCGTAGGGGTCTCCACCGCGGAGACCCCCTGCTTCCAGCTGGACCCCAGCTGCTTGGGTGTCCTGGCAAGAGCCGGGTTGGCCCTAGACTCCCCCTACCCTTTCCCCTCTGCACCCCCCTCCGCCTCCACCACGCAAGGGTATAGCGGGCACCCTCTGCTCGCCTCCTCCCCTGCTCCTTTCTATCGCCCATGATTCTGCGTTGGTGGGTTAAGGAGATGGGGGCGCTAAGGGGGCAGTGGGTGGACTGCCCCTCTGCCCCGAGGCTTGACCAGGCTTGGCCCGAGTGCCCCCTGCTCCTCCCAGAGCCCACCACGGGGTGTCTAGCCTGGACCGCAGGGAAGGCTTTGCCAGCGCAGCTGTCTGCCCTTCAGCCTGGAGCAGCTCAGAGCAGGGCCACCCAGTGCCACTCATTCCTCTGGCATTTATCAAGCACCCACCATGTGCCAGAGCAGCTGTGAACAGGTGAGCCAGAGAGTCAGCCTTTGGGAGTGGACAGTCCCACCTTCCTATCAGGATGTTGGGAGTAAGTAGCCCAGGCCCACTGCAGATGGGGCAGGTGGGGGGGTCGGCAAGGCCCTCGGTGAGGAGGTGGGGAGAGGGCAGCTCAGCTAGAGGGAACGGCATGTGCAAAGGCCAAGGGACAGTCAGGAGGCTGGCGCTGGTGGAGCAAGTGGCCTGGGCTGGGGGCAGAGCTGAGGTCAGAGAGGGGCTGGGGGCTGAGAGAGGGTGCTCTAGTTTTGGGAAAGACGCCCTAGGCTGCCACGGGGGCAGGAGCAGGGGCCAGGAGAGCAGTGGGGGGAGGCAGTGTCAGCGTCCTGGGGTGGGAGCTGTGTGGGGTGTAGGTGGAGGGGAGCAGCAGTGGGTGGCCCCCAGCTGGGCTGCTTGGGAGTGGAGTCTGCAGGAGGGGCTGGCATATCCCAAGTGCAGGCATCCTCTGCTAGGCACCCACTGTGCACCAAGCTATGGACCTGGAGCCTGCAGGACATCAGACATAGATCAGGCTTGGCCCCAGGGCTCCACCAAGGGCACTGCCAAGCCTCCCTCCGATGTGCCTCATTCCTGAGTCCCCATCCACAGTGCCATGCAAGGTGTGCATACAGCAGGCAGGTATCCTGCAAAGAATGCATGCAGCAGGCAGGTACCCTGCAAGGTGTGCATGCAGCAGGCACTGTATCCCTCAGAGTGCGTACAGGGACCGCTGCATCCTGCAATGAGGGTATACAGAAGGCACCAAGCCCTGCACGGGGGCCCTAGTGCTTGTGGGGTTGCCAGGTGGGATGGGGTGAAGACGTGGAGTCCCTGCCCACCCTGCCCACCCCCAGCATTGCTTCCCCTCAGTCTGCAGCTCTGTCACTGTCCTCAGGCCGTAACTCGGCTGGACTCAGCTCACAACACCTGGTGCAGGTGTGGGGGGCGGAGGTTGGGAGGTTCAGAGGCTCCAGGTGCAGGGGCATCTCGGCCTCCCTCAGCCTTGTGCTTGGCACAGGGGTCAGCGGGGACCCCCTGCCCTGAGCTCCAGCCTGGACCCCCACCGAAGGGCAGATCAGGCCAAGTGGACACGGGTCCCAGCAGATGTGGGTCAGGTGGGCTCCTGCTCCTTCTGTGACCTCACAACCCTGGGGCCTGGGAAATGCCCACGAGCAGATCCTGTGGCCTCTCTGTGCCCCACCATCCAGTAACTGCTTGTGGGCCCAATCACGTGATCCCTAGGACACATGAGCCCCCTGGGTAGACTGGGTAGGAGGTGCCTGGTCCGTGGAGCTGCCCAGCAGTGCATGGGCATGAGCGGGGGGGCAGGGACCAAGACCTCTCATGGCCAGGGTGGCACATTAGCTGGGGTTGTGGGGGCCCTCTGCCACCTGGGAGAGCCACCCCAGGGAGGCACCCACAGAAGGATGGAGTCCCAGGGATGCCACTGAAGCAATTTGGAGTACCCTGTGACTTCCTACCAAGGGGTCTCCCCAATGGACATCTGGTCTTTCTGTCACCCTCGTCGCCCACAGGCCGTGCCACTGACCAGGGATGGAGTGCTTACCCTGCTTGCAGTGGCTGTTGTCTCGGAGCTCCCATATCTGATATATAGGACAGCCCCCTGTGAGAGGAATCCTCACCCCCACTTTATGGGTGGGGACCTGCAGAGGGCCAAAGTCACAGATGGCAAGATGTGGAGGTCCCGGGCCAACCCCACACCCACGTCTCAGAGGGTGTCCTGAGCTCCTTCTGAGGCAGGAGCTGGGGACACTTGCTCAAAGAGAGGGCCTGGGCAGGGGCACCAGGAGAAAGGGGCCGTGAAGGAGAGGGTGTTCCCAGCAGAGGAATCAGCATGTGCAAAGGCCAGGTGGCCGGGAGAGTATGGTGAGAACCAGACCCAGCAGAAGGCCTCTGCAGACAGAGTGGGGTGATGAAGGGGGTCGGCTGGGAGGCCACAGATGGGCAGGGGCTTTGCCTCACACAGCCCGGGGGCCGGGAAAGTTTATTCAGAGATGGCACGTCATCTGAGGTCTGCTGCTAGATGAAAAGATGAGAAAAGTTATGGAACGATGCCCTTTATGTAGAAGAAAACAGTGCAGACAGGACATTGGGGGAATGAACCCCCAGGAGTGAGGCCCCAGTGATTGTGGGGTGGATGCTATGGGTGACTTTGACTGCCTTGTATGTTTTATTTGAATTTCTTTAAATAAGCTCTTAATTTTTTGTTTTTTATTTTTTAAGGAAAATGTTACTTTGGAATAATTTTAAATTTACAGAAAGTTGCAAAGATATTACTGAGTTCCTATGTTTTGTCATTAGTACTACAATGCTCCCTCCAGGGACATCCCTGTCCCAGCCCCAGGACCTGAAGACGTGTCTGCTCACGTGGCAGAGGGACCCTGCAGAGGAGATTAGTCAAGGCCCCTGAGACAGGGGTGGCCCTGGGGTCCCGGGCCCAGGGTCCTCACGAGGGTCCCTATGGGGGGGCAGGAGGTCAGGGTCAGACAGATGAGAAGGCGCGGCCCTACTGGCCGTGCAGACCGAGGAAGGGGCCCCGAGCCAAGGCCCCGGGGCCTCTAGAAGCTGGAAGAGGGGGACACGGTTCTCCCGGGGCCCCTGGAGGAGCTGGCCCTGCCCGCCTGGATTTAGGACGTCTGACCCCAGAACGTGAGGTGATGAATGTGTGTTTTTTGAAGCAACCAAGGTGGTGGTAATTTGTTACAACAGCCTTAGGAAACACATACTATTTGTCACAACTAAGGAATTGATTATTGGTATATTGCTATTACTAATTAATAATATGAGTAGTCCTACTGCTATTGGCTAAACTCCAAATTTGTTTGGATTTCACCATTTTTGTTGAATTAGTTTTCTTTTTCTGTTCCAGGATCCCACGTGGCATTGAGCTGTTTCTCTCGTTAAGGTAAAAAGATGCAAGCAGATGAAATATAGGCTATCCCTGCAAAAATCTGGCTGTTTCTGATGCCCACATAGCCTGGTACGCAGCCAGAGTCAATCAATGTCCTTGAATAGAGGCTGAGGGGGCAGCCAGCAGGAGAGGGGGTGCCAGGGAAGGTGTCCACCTGCAGGAGCTGCACCCACTTGGGACCCTGAGGACACCCACCCTGCAGGCAGGGTCCGGCACAGCTTGGGGAGGGTTTGGACTTGCCCAGGGCCACCAGGCAGGTTGGCACCTATGGGGAAATGGCTCCCAGTCTGGTGGGGCAGACGCCAGCCAACCTACAGAGAAATGGCATAATTTCAGGTGGTGAGGGTACCCCAGAGGGACTCTCAGGGTATGGTGGCCTTCTGGGCAAGGGGTGGCCCTCGCCCAGGTCCTAGGAGATGAGTGGAGTGGCCAGGTGAATGCTCAGGGGTGGGGAGCACCGCAGGCAGAGAAAATGGCATGTGCAAAGGCCCTGAGGTTGGGATAAGCTTGGTATGGGATTTCTTGGCCAGAGAGGTCAGGGTGGCTGGGCTGAGGTGAGTGGGTGGGCAGCTGGGGGAACCATGGGGGTGCACCAGTGGGCCTTTGTTTGGATGTGATCTGATTTGATTTTGGAAGGTGTCTTGCTGACAGGAGGACATTGAACTTTCCACCCTGGGGCCTCAGAGAATCCACTGAGTCCAGCTCCCAGCCACCCCTTGATTCCGGGAGCCCCCAAGGACCCAAACAATCTGCCCCACCCCACCTGCCAGAACTGCCCTTGATGTTCCTGATCCTGGGTCTTGGCTGGTCCTGAGCACCACGTCGGGGCCTATGTCTTCAGCTCCGTCTCCCTGTCCGGATCCCCCGCCAGTCATCTTGAAGGGAATGTCCCCCAGACTTACTCGGGATGCCCCTCCCTGGCCCTGGCCACACCCCACTCTGGCTGTCCTGGAGTTCTAGTACCACAGGTCAAAGGGGACAGTTTGCAGTGGCTGAACCCAGGTGAGACTGTGCTCTGGGGGGAGGGTGCATAAGGCCCCTCAGAGCCCCCCACCCACATGCCCCTCCTGTCTCACCTTTTCACTCCATCGCTCTCCCAGCTGCGGTGTGGATCACTTGCAGAACGCTTTCCAAGCTGGATGTGCAAGATAATGTTCCTTGCAGAGGCCCTGGCCAATGAGGGGCAGATGCCAGGGGCTTGATGCCCCCCTCATCCTCCCCTTGGTCAGGCATTTCTGAGGAATCTTCTACCCAGTTCCTCAGGGGCCCACAGTGGTTACCAGGTCATGCCCTGCCTTGTTCTCCCCAGCCCCTCACTCTTGCTCTGCCAAGCCTCTTGCTGCACTAAACCCTTGCTTCAGGCTCTGCTTTCAGGACAGGGAAGCTGCCCAGGAGAACAGTCTTTTACTGGCCTGGACACTGTGAGCGGGAGGAAGGGAGAAAAGGGGACAGGGCCTCAGAACTGAGCCCTGGGCATCAGGAGAAGGAAGAGGAGCCTCAAAGGAGAACAGAAAAGAGTTGGCCTAAAGGTGGGGAAAACGCCTGCAGAGAGGCATCACGGAGGATGAGAGGACGGATGGTACTTCTGGAAGGAGCTGACGCTGGTGCTGAGAGTGGGAGCATCACGGACAAAGTTTGGTCCCAAGGGTGGGGGTGGAAGGTGGAAGCCAACTCCAGAGCCCCCCACACCAACCCTGGGCTGGTCCCCAGGCAGCACGCCGCTGCAGTCACGGGGCTTCTGAACCGTGGTGGCAGGGTCCCCTCCCACCTGCTCCACTCCAGGGTCCCCGTCCCCAGGGGCGCATCAGGTTGGCAGATGCCCAGGAGTTATAGGCGTGCGGTGTCTGCAGCATTTCAAGCCTGTGGGCCAGAGAGGGACCCAGAGCTGGCTGTCACGTCTGCCCACATGCTCCCACTGTGGCACTTTCTGGAAGGAAGGGACCACACCACCGCCGACCCCAGGGAGGCCCCCTGGACTCTGTCTGCCCCTCACTGTCTCAGCAGCCGCCTCTCAGGTCAGCACAAGAACAGACTGGAGGGAAGGCAAGTTTGTGGCCAGAAGCATGGGGGTGGAGGTGGGGGTGGCCAGGCAGGGGTGCCGGCCCATGACCGCCTCTGCCTAGGGAACCCTGCGGGGGTCAGCATAGGAGGCTCAGGCAGCCCCGCTGAGCCCAACACCACCTCGCTTCTTTGCAATCTTTGCAAAATGCCTCAGTATCCCCATCTGTAAAATGAGGATATTGATAACCCCCCACAAGGCTGTAATTTTTGGGGAGGGCTGAATCTAATATGTTTTCCATTTTTTTTAATCTTGGCAAAATACACATAGTGTAAAATTCACCATCGTAACCATTTCTGAGTGCACAGCAGGGGGTGTCACGCACAGTCACGTGTCGTCAGCCGTGCCCACCCTCCCTCTCCAGAACTTTCTGTCCTCCCAAACGGAAGCTATGTCCCCATGCAACACTAACCCCCACCCCCTCCCCCAGCCCCCGGCCCCACCATCCACTTTCTGTCTCTGTGGATGTGGCTCCTCTGGGGACCTCCTGGGAGGGGGATCAGACGGGATTTCGCTGAGCCCAACCACAGCGTAGCAGGTGTGAGCATGTCCTTCCCTTTTAAGGCTGGATACTATCCCTGTGTGTGCAGATGGACACATTTTATCTGTTCATCACCAATGCACCCGAACGAGTTGCTTCCACCTTTTGGCTGGTGTGATTCATGCTGCCATGGATGTCTCTGTTTTAACAGATAAAATTATTGTATTTTTTTCATTCGATTTTCATTCTAGGGTGCTGTTGGTTGGGGGGGAGCCTGCTAGGGGGGTGTGCAGACTGGAAACCGAAGTTCTCCCAGCCCGTGGTGGAGGCTCAGCCAGGAAAACGCAGCGGACGGCTGGGGACGGGGAGAGCTTTCTCTGTGTGGAGGGCACAGCTGGCAGGCAGGCTGTGGGGCACCTGGCAAGGAGCTTGGGATTTCTTTCCCTTCAGGACGCTTCTGAGGGTTCAGTGGGCCCAGCAGCCTGTCCCTGCCCACAGTGCTAAGTCCCTCAGGGCACAAAGTCTTGAGCGTGTCATGGGGGAGCAGGGGGTCCTGACTCCTCACTGCCTCCGATGTAGGTGGGACTTGAGTCACTTGCAGCCCAACCGTCCTGGGCTTCCTGGCACCTTCCTGAGGCTGGCCTCCCCGTCTGTAACGTGGCGTTAACGATAGCACCTGTCTCAGGGCAGTGGAAGGGGCCTGGCTTAATTGCACTTGCCTCCGGAAGCCTCCTTGACCCTCGCTTGGTTAGGTCTGGGTGGTTCCCTGTGGGAGGTGTGCTAAGGAGCCCGTAGACTCCAGGGGGACTGGTACACGACGGCTCAGATCCCTGGCACCCCCAGCTGCCCACCTTCTGTCATGTGGCACCTGGTTCTCAGCAGGGGACTTGGGCTCCTGGGCTTCTGCCTAGGGAACCCTGCGGGGGTCAGCATAGGAGGCTCAGGCAGCCCCGCTGAGCCCAACACCACCTCGCTTCTTTGCAATCTTTGCAAAATGCCTCAGTATCCCCATCTGTAAAATGAGGATATTGATAACCCCCCACAAGGCTGTAATTTTTGGGGAGGGCTGAATCTAATATGTTTTCCATTTTTTTTAATCTTGGCAAAATACACATAGTGTAAAATTCACCATCGTAACCATTTCTGAGTGCACAGCAGGGGGTGTCACGCACAGTCACGTGTCGTCAGCCGTGCCCACCCTCCCTCTCCAGAACTTTCTGTCCTCCCAAACGGAAGCTATGTCCCCATGCAACACTAACCCCCACCCCCTCCCCCAGCCCCCGGCCCCACCATCCACTTTCTGTCTCTGTGGATGTGGCTCCTCTGGGGACCTCCTGGGAGGGGGATCAGACGGGATTTCGCTGAGCCCAACCACAGCGTAGCAGGTGTGAGCATGTCCTTCCCTTTTAAGGCTGGATACTATCCCTGTGTGTGCAGATGGACACATTTTATCTGTTCATCACCAATGCACCCGAACGAGTTGCTTCCACCTTTTGGCTGGTGTGATTCATGCTGCCATGGATGTCTCTGTTTTAACAGATAAAATTATTGTATTTTTTTCATTCGATTTTCATTCTAGGGTGCTGTTGGTTGGGGGGGGAGCCTGCTAGGGGGGTGTGCAGACTGGAAACCGAAGTTCTCCCAGCCCGTGGTGGAGGCTCAGCCAGGAAAACGCAGCGGACGGCTGGGGACGGGGAGAGCTTTCTCTGTGTGGAGGGCACAGCTGGCAGGCAGGCTGTGGGGCACCTGGCAAGGAGCTTGGGATTTCTTTCCCTTCAGGACGCTTCTGAGGGTTCAGTGGGCCCAGCAGCCTGTCCCTGCCCACAGTGCTAAGTCCCTCAGGGCACAAAGTCTTGAGCGTGTCATGGGGGAGCAGGGGGTCCTGACTCCTCACTGCCTCCGATGTAGGTGGGACTTGAGTCACTTGCAGCCCAACCGTCCTGGGCTTCCTGGCACCTTCCTGAGGCTGGCCTCCCCGTCTGTAACGTGGCGTTAACGATAGCACCTGTCTCAGGGCAGTGGAAGGGGCCTGGCTTAATTGCACTTGCCTCCGGAAGCCTCCTTGACCCTCGCTTGGTTAGGTCTGGGTGGTTCCCTGTGGGAGGTGTGCTAAGGAGCCCGTAGACTCCAGGGGGACTGGTACACGACGGCTCAGATCCCTGGCACCCCCAGCTGCCCACCTTCTGTCATGTGGCACCTGGTTCTCAGCAGGGGACTTGGGCTCCTGGGCTGTAGCCAGCTGGCCTGGAATCAGAGGCTGGCTCCCCACAAAGGTGCCTGAGTCTTGCTCTGATGTAGGCACCAGGGTCCCCCAAAACCCGGTTGCCCTCGTTTGACACACCAGATGGACATGTGACGACTCTGAAGGTGTTTCCTGTCTCTGGTGTCATGGACCGGCCTGATTCCAGCCCCAGGGACCCCTGCTGACCCCTCCCCAGCCTCGGCATCACATGACATTTGGGGGTTACCACGGCAGCGTCCAGAGGCAGCTGCCTGGAGTCGACTCTCACTTCCTGGCTAGTAAGCGACTTGACCTCCGTGGGCTTCAATGTGCCCGGCTGGAAAATGGGGACCGGGCCAGTTCCTGCGCCCCAGGACTGGTGTGCGGGTAGACCGAGAGAACGCTAGGCGAGGGCTCGGACCCGAGCCTGGCGCGTGGCTCAGAGACGCCTGCCTGGACAGGTCCCAGCGGGGCCGCCCCACCCGCCAGGCTCTCCTCTGCCAGGCCTGTGTCACAAGCTCTGAGTGCCCCCAGTCGGTCCTCCAGTCCTATCCATCCTCGCTGCGGAGTGTCCCGCACATAGAACACCCCCGACACCCCCAACCTTCAGCCGTGCCCCGTCTGGGTCCCTGCCCCAGACCTCTCCTTCCCACCAGCCACAGCGGCGAGGACGTGGGGCAATTTTCTGCCACGTGGGCCTCGGGGACCTGCCTGCCTGGAGAACGCACGGCCTCCGGTCAGCGCAGCCGGCCTCACTCTGCGGAGGGCCCTGTCTGCCAAGCGCCCCTGGGGGCCTCCCCGAGAACGAGGCCATCCCGCCCGCCTCCGTTCCCTGCGCACAGGTTCCCCCTGCGCTGAGGTTCCCTCTAGGCGTCAGGCGCAGGGACTGGAAGGGCGAACGCAGGGCGCGCGGGACGCGAGCGCCGCCCCTGTCCCTGGAACCCCCGCCAGCCCGGCGGCCCCGCACGCCCCTCCCGCCGCGGTCCCGCCCCAGCGTCGTTCGACGCGCCCCCCGGCGGCGCGCGGCCCCCAGAGCCGCGGTGTTGCGCGGGGGTCCGGCCGGGGGCTGCGCCCGCGCCCGCGCGCTGCACCCGGGCGGCCCCCCGTGGGGTGGAGTCCGGGCCGCGGCGGAGGCACAGTTGCCGCCCGCCCGTCTCCGCCTCTTTGCACGACCCGAGCTCGGGACGCGTCTACAGGCGCGGGAAGCTGATCTCCGGTCGGCGGCCAAGCGGCCGGGCCAGGAGGCGCGGGGCGCGCGCGGGGCTGAGCCCACGTGCGGTCCGGCTTGTTCAGCGGCGCGCCCCGCGGCTTTTGTTTCTGCGCGCGCGGTGTGTCCGCCGGGTCTGGGCTCCAGGCTCGCGTGGGCTGGGCGCCTGGGCCTGCGGTGGGCCGTTGCGCGGTGTGCGCTGCGTGGCGGGAACGGTACTGGGTGCGCTGTGCGGTGCCGGCGGGTTGCGCATCCAGGCTGTGGGTATGTGCCCCAGTGCTACCAGGGTTGTGCCTTTGTGTGGACCCCGCTGGGCTGCGTGTGTCCGGATTCTTTGCCCATCTCCGCGCCTTCTGTGACCCGGGGTGCTGTTTTGTGCAGCCTCCAAGCGCTACGCTGCGGGCTCTGGGCTGAGGGCGTCAGGGGTGGATATGTCTTAGGTGTACGTGTGCCTGGGTCTTTGGGTGTTGCTTTGCGTTGTGTACTCTGGTGTGAGGCTGTGAGCTGTCTGTGTGTGTGTGAAGAAGCCAGGCCACCTGTCTGCCCACCTGTGCACAGCCTTCAGCCGCTGCTACAAGCTGACCAACAGCCCACCAGCGTGGTTTGCCCTGAAGGTGGTGCCTCGTGGAGAAAACGGGGCGGCCCCTCTGCGTCCCCGCAAGAAGGTACGACCCTGCTGGCAGCCCCCACGGGATACCCAGGGATGTCCGGGCTCTCCGCAGGGTGACGATGTATGCTGCCGGCATGAACTCTGCAGAGGCTGTACTTGGGGCCCTGCCCGCAGGTGGAGCGCGAGATCGCCCTGCACAGCCGCCTGCGACACCGTAACATCGTGGCCTTCCACGGACTCTTTGCAGACCACGTGTACGTGGTGGTGGAGTTTTGCAGCCGCCAGGTGGGGCAGGGGGGAGTCCGCATCGCCCATGTAGCTGCCGCGTCTGTCTGTGGTCATCCTCTACACACCTGAGCTCCCCTGTGCCTGACACATGCCTACCTCCTTCGTTTCTGGTCACCTGGTCCTTCTCCAACTTACCTATGGCCACGGGGGTTCCCTTGGCTTCCCTGAGCCTGTGGAGCCTACATGGGTGTCCTGGTGCCAGGGCTGCCACCTGCCGGTCACCTGCAGTCCTTGGCGCACGTGCTGGGGGCACGGTAGACGTGACGGAGCCAGAAGTGGGCTACTACCTGCGGGGCCTGGTCCGCGGCCTGGGTCACCTCCACCAGCAGCAGATTGTGCATGGGGACCTGAAGCTCAGTGGGCGCCGGGAATGCGAGCGGAGGGCGGTGGGAGATGGGGCACAGCTCCGCCCTCACACTCAGTGCCCTCCTGTCCTCCCACCAGGTAACTTCTTCCTGAACAAAAACATGGAAG